GATATAGGGGTGGGACGGGAACATGTTTTGTGGGGAACAAAAAGTGATAACGACAGATGAGCACTGATAACTTACGATATGCGTACGAACGTAGAGATTACTTGAAACCAGATTTCAATATAATTTCATTAGCGTTATAATTGTAAATTCAAACATTTTCAACCGCTACACCTTCTAGAGTTCCTGAGGATGAATGGGATGCTCTAATAAATTTGATAGTGAATACTGGGCATTCCGTCTTGAGATTACCAAAAATTATTCGACCGCTAAATTTTCTCGATTCTCGATGCATGGTGGTTGTTTACATACATCACTTTAGCTGTGCACTTCACTGCGCTTATCAAACAGTGAGATACAGCCAAGATGGGCAACGGACAGTAACGCATTTAACGAAGCAGCTATAGTTAAGCGGTGAAACCCAAGGCTTCACCGATTGTCAGTTTTGTCAGAGGCTTCCGTGTCATGCGCGCGGTAGCGGGCGGAGCTAAACTGGTAGAATATTAGGACGCGTAGCTGAGAAACCAAAATTAAGATGTTCCGGAAGATGCGACGGATGCAGTCCAAAGATTGTCTCATTTTGTTGAAGACTAGTGCCGTGCAGTGTGCGCAGAAGCATGCGGAATGAAACTGGTACTCACCATGTCCTCGTAACCACTTAGTATCAATCAGTTCGGCTCCGCTCATCACCGCGCGCATAAAGGTTGACTTTAGCGGAACTGATCATAGTCGAGCTTTTGTATTCGGCAGTGTGCATGTATTCAATGGATTCGACTGATGTGGTTAACGAATGTTTGCAATACTGCTGGTACTTCCATTCTCGTAGCTCGTCAATACTTATAAATACATCATGTTCGGAAACTGACATTTTAATCGAACAGACTTTAGATAACCAGTACAACTATTCGGACTGCTTACTGTCGGCTGTTTTCGTAAACAACTAGTGTATTTCGGATATTGGGAAGGTTTAGCGATGGAATAACTTTTGGTGGCGATGATAATGAAATAGAGACACTCAAGAGCATATCGTGTCTCCTCGGACAGCCCCCATATTGAAGGAAGTGGTTACTATAAGTCTCATGGGACGATAAAGCGAGAGCTGTGTAGCTGGAGTGGATACATGTTTATACATGCCCAACTGTTGTAGACACACGTGAAGTTTCAGTGGCAGTGGCCCTTATCAACGGAGTATTCAAATCCCACTTCCGGTTAGCAAAAACGAAGACTTACGATGCGGAAAGGGGTACAATAAGAGCGTGCTAGATATGATACGTTATTCGTTATCGTACCGTTTTTATTCAGGAGTGCATTCTCTATCAAGCAGCAGCAGCCGCACCTTCTTATCTCATCGTATCATACACTTCCACAACACTCGTCCAACAATTGCTGCCTCACACCTTATCAATTGATCACGCGAGGGTAACAAATCTAGGTTGGAAGCCAGCGTGATCACTCCCTCTAAGCTTGGGAGGCTAGCGGTTGAATGAATTTCGATACAGGCAACGAAATCGCGAACAGAATAGGATGCTCCCGTATCACTCACATTGATAAGAGTCGATAAGAGACTCCTCCGTCCTCGAGCTACACGTTCATATCATCCCTTATAAACTCTTATCATCTTTTGTCCCCCGCCAAATATGTTAAGTCTCTACCCTCTGCATCACATCTAAGGAACAGTGTCTCAATGCTGCTGGGACATACGCTATTGGCCTTATGAAAGCTACATTCCGACGCCCTTACCAGCTGTTATCACCACCCGTTTTCCTCCAGACATGTTTGCAGCCCGCTCCCATATCATATCTAATTGACTCGTGATGACTGCTGGCCCCTGCGCTATGAGTTTCGTGACACACACGGACAGATAGACTCAGCGCTTTATTATACAGTGCAGAATCATAGGACACCCCTAAAATATATGAATATCTCGGTCTCTAGTATACGTCGTTGAGCGTAATCTATAAAATCAGAACCGCCCTTATAAAAATCCTATACACACAAGTTACCAGGTTATCCGATTAGTTTTCCGTATTTCTAAACAATTTTTTAAATTTTGGAGCCTGTGCAAAACCATAAGACGTAGGGCACACCCCCTTAGTGAGGTGCATCGGGCGCTGTATACTCTCAACCTCTACGCTTTCGACGCCCGGGCAACCAAACCCACCCACGGTTGATATCTTATCTTAGGCGCAAAATTGATCTGCTATGCTCTTTCTACTCGGACTTCTCTTACACTCTCCATGACTCACATTACCTCTCATCATCTCTGTGCAGAGAAGAGCAGAGAGGCTCGTAATTTGTGCGCTTCGACGATATTTCTCCCTTTTTCCTCCTCGTGTGGCCCACTTCGCACCACTACTTTCGTATTAGGCCGAGATTACCACATCAAGTTGATCCTGGCCGTTGCTTTCAAGGAAGAACTACCGAACTGAAGTGGGGCTTGTGTTGAAGAGAAACCGCTTTTACTGCTCCTCTCCTTCAGTGCTCTCCACGCCACTCGTGTCACTCAACTAATAGCGAGCTACATAGTTCATAATGCAGGAATGCTGCCTCATGGTGTTGAACCATTGGTAGCCCTGCCCAGACAGTGCTATGCTGGAAGTCTATCTGCATGCTTAAAAGTGGCTTCTGACACCCTCAATCCTAGTAAATGGCATAGAAGTGAGGTAGAGGAAGATGTGTAATTTGCTCTCTCAAACGCTTGCATTGTGTGATAGAGCACTTTTGCACGTAAACATTTCAGGGTCTATCATCAATGGATTTATATCTATGCCAAGGCCAGTCAACGACAGTGACAATCCAGAGAGCTGCCTTCGAAAATGGTTAGACAATTGACAACTGCGGAGAGTATTTTCTCAGCTGGCATTGCCATTCAAGCTCCAAATCAGTAGTTCCGAATTTTCGGCTTAGTAAGGTGAGGCAAGTGAGCAAGAGCGTTCATCCCGCTGTATGATTAGACAGAGATTATAGTAATCGAAATAGCGATAAAGTGAACATAGCCAAAGAGTTCAGAAAGTGCGTAATTTTGAAAAGTCAGTGCGCATGATCATTTTACGCAATCAAAATCAGTAGCGGCAATTTTACGTGATATCAGACCAATATGCGCTCTTTTTTGCCATGCACGTTCAATGGCGCACCATCTGTAAATCGAAGGCTTCTTTGAATTTTTCTTCTAGCTCACTGTGCCAATGTTCCTTCCCAAAGCAACGAATCACAAACACAAATATTTAAGGTCTTCCAAAAAGTCTGTATTTCCACCAAAACTCTTGTTAGCCAGAGCGGGGTGGAAGTAACTCAGCATAACACAGAACACCAATACCCCGTGAAGTACTTTGCAACGGTTCCTACTAGTAATAGATGCCGTGTTCGGGAGATTGCTATAGAACATAAACAGCAACAATTAACTCGCCGACTCCAACAAAGCGAAGACATTTTGCATAAGTTCTTGATAATTTTGTTACTACCTCTCTCTAGTCGTTCTTCATGTCTTCGGCAGGTTCATGTTGCTCTTAAGTTGATTCCTGGACTTGCCTGGCCATGCTTCATCTTATCGACCCATTCCGAGGTATTGCTGCCACCTGTTGACAGTGATTGGTGTCACCGGAATAAATATCGATGCAGTGGAGCAGTAATTCGTTCGCAAAAAAAAGGTTTGAATTACTTCTGAAGAATGGACTTGACAAGAACACGAACACAGCCACAATACTCGACGATAAGGACTCAGATATGCTCTGGCGCTACAGGAGAGCAGAGCAACACAAGGTAATTTTTTCCACCTATGTTCAAGTGACCGGATTTGCGGACTTGGTAGGCGACACGGCGATGAGATTCCCTTCGAAGCCTATTCTTCATCACCTCATTATTTACTTACTGTGTTAATGATCTCTACTGGTTTACCACGCCAGTATATCCGCAGCTCTGATCTGGGACATTTATTGTGCAGGCCTATGAGAGTGGGGAGTGGGCGTTGTCACCAGGCACCAGCACACCTTGATAGATGCGCGCAGATGAGTTGCTTCCAACAGGGATCGCGGGAAATCAGCAAAAAGTGCTGCAACAGCTTCTATGAAAGTGCGGCTGCACGCCCGCACTTCGCTGACTCCAACTCTCGGATGTGGATGTTAGAAAGGTTTTCTCACCACACGAAATAGATTTAACAGCTAAGACGTGAAAGGAGGACGTGGCGCCTCATGCGTGGCCGCACGATTATTTTCTCCTGCTTTTTAGTATTTTCTAATGAATATAATAGTGAAAATACGCCCGCTAGTGCACTCTTCAGCAGTGAGAAACATGGTACCCGAGTACCTTTGGACGGCTGATTTCTGACCAAACTTACCTTGCACCCTAGATTAACAGGCGGCCAAAGTCGAAAATGCCAATGTATTCCGCTCATTGGAAATCTCTTCTTTGGTAAGATCAAGCAAGGAAACATACTTTATGCCGATTTTAAACCCCGGTGTTCGCCTAAACTTTACGCCAATATACCCAGTGTGGCGGCGTGCGCCACATGGTGGTTTTACCAAGAAAAACCTTTTCGTCCCGTAAGGTGTTAGCTGGACCTGTTCCTTCGTCTCGCAAATGGAAATTAAGGTTTTATGCAGGTCTGCCAGCAGTAGAACCATTTGGGGTCATTGTAGAAGTGTGCAAAGGATTCTTCTGTGTATGGAAACTGTTGAGAATGAAACCAAGTCACATCCAGAATGATAGTAAACTGCCGAAGCGGTTCTTAGATTCATTTAGTTAACAGTTCAAAGCTAAATCGTATTCAATTCACCAAAAGATTGAATGACATTTCCCAACACACATTATTCCAATTGGGTTTTTTATCTTTTTATTTATTATTATTTCAGAGATGTGCAAACTGGCTTCCGATCATGGATAGGCTGTCCACCAACAGGCAGTCAGCAACAATGCGTAATCTGGTCGGAATTATGCATGAATAAATATTAATCTTTGACTATTATGTTGATTCAACCAGCCACAGCGGTTTGTTGAAGTGTAAAGAAGAAAAGCATCCTAGCTCACTCTCTGAAAGCGAAGCTCTCTGAGTTCTAATTCTAGGATGATGAGAAGCTGTGTTTGGGGCAACTTTTTAGCGAACAGGCTCAATCCACTCGCTCATGTCATAGCTACTGGCACACTTACCGCAAACACGACTCGCTCGCTACTTCACGCGTCGGAGCGTGGTAGCCAGCAGCGGAAGGTGGGAGCTTGCGGGGCGAAGGTGTGGATTGCGGGAAGAGCAAATCACGTTTTGCTGGCCTGCAGCAAGGGAGGCGACAACAGAAGCTCTTTCCACTTCTTTTACTAACCGACTCAAACAAGTTATTGACTTTAGTTGCCTCTGCAAATTATTGGAGATAGCCGTTTAGGACGAGCGAGCACCTGAGTTTACAGGCAGTGAAGTACGACGTCTCCTGCGCGCAATCACGTAACATCGCGCTTTCTTGCGATGTAGGTATTCAGAGGGGCGTTCAGGAAAAAAAATTTAAATATAGTGCTGGGGGTACCCGCATACGTGCCCCTATATCATGCAAAAGACCGTTTTCAAAAAGCTCGTTCACGCCTTGAAAGACTTCCTGTCGGCGGCAGTCGGAGGCTAGTGTTAGTGGTACGGCCTGTGAATCGGAAGGGAAAAGGGCGGTGTTCATGGTTCGACTCACCACAGGGTCGAAGTTTTGCTTTTTTTGATTGTCATTTTCCTGTGATCGTGTGTCTCACACAACGTTGCGTTTTTTGCAGCTGATCTAGCTATCGGCAGTAGACCCAGCCAGAAGCATGGCCAGGAACTCAACCTGCCTCTGTTTGACAAGGAGGAGAACCTAACGACATAGTCATTGGTGTCTTCTCGCCCATCGCCGGCTTGAGTGTCTACCATTGTCTATTACAGGAAAAAATTTCCCATTTCGTGAGAAAGTTGACTAGAAGATCGCTTCCAAATCATCTGCCAATGAGCCTGACGGGCTACTGATCTATCTGCCCATGGTCCAACTGCTCGAAGTTGGGACGAAATCGTAACTTTTCCTGAAACTTTCGGGTTAGGAGTTATTTGGCGTCCTGATTACGGATATTCTATTAGTTTCTAGCGTGAACGTCATTTGAATTCGCTATTGGGCGCCACAACGGCGCCGTTATGGTGTCGCATTCTCCACCAGTTTTTTTAGTCAAAATCTACGTATGAAGGTTGCTGTTGCTCCTAAAGATATGACATCTGCTATTCACGCTGACACCCTTTTTCGTGAACTTTGGAACGCCAACACAGAATGCAAAAAAATTTCACTGCGAGGATTCAAACCACGGACCACTTCACAACCACTTTTTTTGGTATTCAGAGGACCGCTCAGGAAAAATGAACTATAGTTCAGCGTTCCATGCGTGGACCTCTATATCATGCAAAAATCCGTTTGAGAAAGCTCGGCATTTCCTGAAAGACCTTCCTCTTTAGAACAGTTGACGAGTTCGCTCGACGCGTTCTTTCTTCGTTGAGAGCGCAGAGAGAACGCGGGCGAGCACACGTTTTAACGCGTCAATGCGTCGCGCATTGTACGTGATACAGCATAACAATATAATTAACGTCTTACCTCAGGTGCTTACTCTGTCCAAACGCTTATCTCTCTAGTTGGAAGTAAGATGCAGTAGTATGCAGGGAGTGAATTTAAACAAAGTAAATACCTCCTCAACATTCCTACTGCGCTGAGCCAGTTTCGCTCCGCACGCTTTCGCGCGCTTAACACGGTAGACCGGTAAAACTGGGAAAGCCTGTGGAGCGTTCGGTCACCCAGCTAGTAAGGTGCTCCAATAAAATAAGTGTTCTGACGGTCCACAGGTTCCTCATCACAGTAGCCTATGAGGAGATATGCGTGTCTGCGGAGCTTAACTGGTACTTATATATCCTGTAAACATTCACCTTTGTACCGAAATCAGTCAGATTAGCGATCGAATCTTTCTTGTTTCTACCTGTATTAGAATGGGAATACAAATTTTTGTCGCTGAGCGTCTGATCTTTCGGTTAAGTTCTTGCTGTTTTTGTATGTATGTGTATCAAATGTGGTTTGTAGTAAAACCATTACGATCTATTCATCCTTGCTAACAATAATGATGTTTAACAACTCCGTTCATTGAGAAGACTGAAGTTTAGTCTAACCAGCCGGTTGAAAAAGTGGCAGTAAATGTGTGAAAAGTCTAGTGAGTAAGATGTTTGCGGTTTAGTACTTCAGCTGACTGATTTTTTGCACGGTCGATTCTTCCGGCGACGGCTGAGGTACATCTTGAAGAAGAGTCGACCTGTTTACGGCACCTTTACTGAGCGGATGTGTTAAAAATTCATATTATTTTGACACCTTGCTATGAATATTTGTTTTTCCAACACAGTGGTGTCTGAAACCTAAAGGCAAAGGTCGGGCTCAGGCACACTAGAGAAGTAATTCCCGTACCCGGAGGTTGTATGTGAATAGCTGCACACATTGCAGCAACTTCCCTCCTTCAAAGACGTCGTTAAGCCCCCGGGGCCTTTGGTTTCTACCCAAGGCCGCCTGGTCAATCCAGGACAGCCCACCGTCGCATGTGCCGCATAGCACGCCGAGCACGGCAACGTAGATTGCAAGTGTGGCATGGAGCGTCGTAGGGTGATTTGGATCTGAGGCCCCGTTCATAGCTCGAGAACTGGGGGAAGATGCGATGATGCGATGAAGCGATTCTGTAGCACCTTCGCAAGAGGACGCACGCACCGCGACGCATGAGGGAGCGATCAATAATTTGTGGCGTGGCGGCGTCTCGGCTTCGCTCTGTCCAACGAACTCATTTTCTTGTTTGTCTTTTAATGAAATTTTTAAGAGCTTTGAAAGCAATGAGTATAATTTCCCTCAACCGCCAGGCGCACATTATCAGAGCCCTGCGGTGCTCCCTCCTCTGTGCACCGCAAAGCTCTAAATAATGAGCGCCTGGCGGATGAGGGAAATTCCTTCTCCAAATTCATAACCCAATCTCTTTGACTCCCCTATATTTACGACTTCACTATGTGGGTTTGTGACACCAATAGCTCGATCCTATTGTAGTGTGCTTGACTTCATGCTCAGTGTGACGAATGTGACTCCTGGCTGAGACCGCTACCTAGGTTAAAATTATCCCAACAGGGCCTTTGTGCAGTTGGCTTTGTAAGCCCTTGATGAGTCTTCCCATCGTGCATCCGCTTCTTCTTCTTTTGATTCAAGCCTTTATTGTTCCAGATTCTTGTTAATTGATTGGGTCTCTAAACGGCTTTCTTAACTACGTCTTTGTCTCTACTTACAATACCACGTACCATCATGTGTAATGTTGTGATTTCTGGTTGTAGCTACTTGATATTATTGGTATTAGGTATTGATTTCATCTGAGTGGACAAAATGTTGCAGTTACTCGTCAAGACTTTTCATGCTTAAATGAAAGCTCACCAGCACCTACCAATCATATTGGAACCCCAACTACCCTTAGGCGAACCACATAGATCTCTCCTGGTTTCCTCTAGCCACCACGCATTCAACTGAATGACTGGTATTCAATTGACTGGTAACCCCCAGCTCGCTATGAAGAGGCACGTCCTCATTAGGCAGATGTCAGACAGCGATCGGTCCACTACTAGAGTGTAGGGTTTCCATTATGGGTGTCTAGACACGCCACTTTCGAACACTGCCAAGTCGCTGGTTCAATGTCGACTATTATCTGAACTATCTGGGCATTTTGGCTTCTTTTCTTTACGCTGGAGATGTGTATTGTAATAGGAATGGAACGCTCTAAATCCTGTATCTGGTTATCAAGACGAAACTTGCTCTGCAGATCTACATACCGGCACGACTATCGAATTACCCTAACATTAGCCGTTTGTCGTGCACGAAATGCTGTATTACTATCACTCTTATTTTGAAAGGCATCATGAGCGGGTCGTTCTAGGGCGCGTAAACGCCTGGTGCGGTCGGTCAGTCTTCTGCTCCGAAAACGGCCTACGCGTATTGATCGGTCTCTTGAAGGCTTTCTGTCGTGGGTGTAAGTTTTGCAGAGAGAAAGGAGAAGTCATCCTCATTTATTCCATTCCACATAGTATTAATTTCGTTTGTTTTTGTTGCCCTTGTGATCCCAGAAAGATGGCAATAGAATAGGAGAGATTCAAGATCCGGAGAAAGAAGTTTCTTTCACTTCAGTTTAACACGTTGACGACAACGCGCGGCGCATTTATGGGTTTTGCACCGCGTGGGACCACGGCGATTTTGCAGGCGCCGCCGAGTCACATAAAATCCGTGAATTTTTACCCAAAACTCCGATGCAGCAAAATGTTTAGAATGATATTCGATGTGTCAAACTTACCAGAAGGGACAGCTGTGAACAATCGATCTAATTGACGATTTCTGGCAATGAAAGACGAGTTTCAGTTGCTTTTTGCTGCAGTGAACCTCAAAATTATTTTTGGCGGGGTTGCTCCACTAAAAACATATGTCTTGCTATATGTGTGGGTCTGTACTTACTTCTACTGCTCTTTTTTATGACCAAGATTACCAGAATATAAAGGAAACTAGGAATGAACACAATTGGGAAACTCGTAGGGCTTAGAAAACCCTCGCTAAAAAGTAGCATATTCAACCATTCAATGAACCTCGCCGTGTCTAGTTATATTATGGTGTAGTCTACGGAGAAGATGCAAAAAAATTGGAAAAGAAGTGCGCATGCGCGAAAAAATAAATACTTTGTGTATGCAGCGCATGAGCTGCACACGGTCCCACCCGGTGCTCAAGGGTGATGCGCATGCGCTGCACAATGTCGTCAACGTGTTAAGAAGGATTTAAGATTTGCTCCCAGAAGATTGATAGTGTGTCGCGCTTGTCCTACAAGTTTTGGTTGCGGGCATGTGATAGTGATTCAAAGTTCTAAATTCGTTCTCCACTATTATCCTCACTATATCTAATTCAGAGCGGAGCGGGAACAAGTGCCCCGGTGACGCAGTGACGCGGCACGTGCACCTTTGAAGTACTGGATACTCTGAGGTTTTTTTTGTGCCGACTTACACTCTTGCTGTTGGTTTTTTGTAACGGTGATTTCTTTTGCTGTTCTTATGGTCGAGACGGTGTTAAATTGAGAATTTTAGTTGTCCTCCATCTCAGGTAAATGAAAATCTTCGTTTCATTCTAATGCACATCTTTCATAGGATACTCTGTGGCAAATTATTCTTGGTGCTGTTGAATTCTCCACCAGTTGGGTGCTTCAGCTCCTGATATTTGTACAGCAAATGTTTCAAAACTTAGTTTTGTAGACTGTCAGAAATGTGTTCATTCTAGTGGGGGGTATGACGCTTGCGTGCGTAGCGTTTCTCCCCCTGGGGTCAGGTCGCCTAAAATCGAGACGGCGTTCATTCGCTCAGAGCAAGCTTAGGACTGAGCCTAGGCCCAGTCATAGGCTTAGGCACAAGCCAATGTGTAAGCATGACGTTAACCTAAGCCGAACCCAAATAACCTCAAGCTTGGAGTTAACTTTGGGTTCGACTCAGGGACCGCGCGACCCCAGGAGGAGAAGCGCACGTCTCCTCTGGCGCGTGAGCCAACACATGAGGACAGTCTGTCGCTGTTTCATACGATTGATTCCTCCATGTGTGAGTGTTGGGTTGTAGGCCAGAGACGTAATAAAATTTATTGAAAGCATCGGAATATTCAAGTATCACACATGAGCCAAGAAAGTACTCTAAAAAAGAGATATGCAGAACAAAACAACTCCAAAATGTTAAATGGTAGTGAATTGTAGATCCTCAGCACGAAGTACCCTCAAATGCACTTCTAATAGATTTATTTACTGCAGATACTGTGAAGTTGTGTAGACCTCACTGAATTCAGACCTTGGAAAATGAACGCTGATCCCTTTCGTGCTCGCCTCATCGAACTGATACGGCACTAACCTAGTATATGGGATCTCACTTCTGAACAGTATCACCTCAACGAGTGGAAGAAGAACGCGTGGTCGAGAGCGTGGAATGGAGGCCAGCGGCTATATGAGTTTACATGCGTCGCAAAACAGTAAACAACATCATCTAGGAACGTTTGATGTGGGAATTCTTATTAGTGGAACTTTGCAGTCGGAGAACTCAGAACTGTATGGAAGAACCTTAAGGGACATGCGAAGGAAAAGGAAGATGATGGCTGCAGGATCTGCAGCGCAGAAGGTATAGATATTCGGCGAGATGATGGTTTTTTTGGACAAAGTTGATTTTGAAGGCTTGGTGTAGCGTTGAGGTTTGTGAGCAATATCGTAGCGACTTCATTGCAGCAGAGCAGTCTCGAATCTGGACATGAATGGGAACTTCACCTACTGTGAGAAGTCAGGTGGTAATGGGCTCGGATCTTCTCCGAAGAGGAAGCAAAAGAAAGGATGGTATGCTTTTGCTACTCGGGGATGTTTTGCAAACAGGAAAAACAAGCCGTTATTTCAGTCGCTTTGGATATGATACCGAGACAGAAGCTGTAAAAGACCTGTGCGGCAAGTCCAAAGATAAGCCACTGACAGAGGAGTCACTCTCGCCCTTCCGTATGCGAGACACCCACGGAAACTAGCCCAAAGATGGAGACAGAAGCGGTCATCGAAGCCACGGGCAACCAGGGCGTCCCTACTCAGTGCATCAAGACTCATCGTGAGCTCTACAGCAACTTTACGACCAGAATCTCACCATTCTACAAGGAGGTCACCATCGACGTTAAGAGAGGAGTCCGACAGGGCGACCCCATCTCGCCCAAACTCTTCAGCGCCGCTCTCGAGAACGTCATGCGTCAACTGGATGGGAAGACATGGGAGTGAAGGACGACGGCCGGCAACTACGCCACCTTCGTTTCGCTGACGACATCGTTCTTTCCGAACATCGAGCAAGCGGAGCGAATGCTGGCTGATTTCGACTGCGCCTGTGATAAGGTTGGCCTGCAGCTGAACCTAACGAAGACGATGTTTATGAGAAACGGATCGGTTCCTGATGCCCCATTCACTCTCAACGGAACGAACATCACCGACTGCTCCAGCTACGTGTACCTAGGTCGGGAAATCAATATGGTGAACGATCTAGCTCCAGACTGTGCAGGAGGAAACGAGCAGGAACATCGAGGGAGTAGTGAAGAATACGAAGAACATCCGGCTCCGTGCCCACCTCTTTGATTCTGCAGTATTTCCTGTCCTAACCTACGCCTCAAAGACTTGGATTCTGCGCAGGCAGGACGAGCATGCGGTCAGCGTCATCCAACGCGCTGTCGAGAAGACTATGCTAGGAGTAACCCTATACACGCAAGTGCAGAGGGGAATCCGGAGTGCCGAACTACGCCAACGATCGGAGATCAGAGACGCTGCCATATTTGCGAAGGAATCGAAGACAAGGTATGCCAGGCACGTCATGCGATTTTGCGATAACCGTTGGACCAGAGCGGTTACCGAGTGGATCCCTCGGGACGTCAGACGAACACCTGGACGAGCGCCGGTACGAGTCCATGTGTTCGTGCAATTCGATGATCTACCGGGACGACAGGTGGTACGGGTTAATACCTTTTTTGGATAAAAACTGAAGTTTCAGATACATGTTGTGTCACTCGCTTCTGAGAACGAGCAGGAAAAAGATGATGCCCCGGTCATTACTAAAAAGTTTTCATTTTGCTTTCACAACACTACTTGTAGAGCTTTGCAAAAATCTTTTTATTGTAAAGCTTATACCGAGAACACTAGTTACCCGAAATGTTGTTACCAGCATAACTGATTCTTGGTGCAATCTGTTGGCCTTGAGCAGCTTTAAGATACCCCCTTCTGATGTGCTGTAGCAGACACAATTCGGTTAGTGCAGTAGAGATATTTCTTTTCTTTTCTCTCTTTCTATAAACCTTCCTCACTAGAATGCTATAACTAACTTTGAGATGCAAATGGCAGGATTGTTTCCTCATCAGGAAAGTGTTTCCTCACAGCTATGCATCCACTCCTCTCACATCAGGTATGTGAATCAATCGATTCCACCCCTAAATGCATTGTATTCAGCTTGTCTTATTTGGTTCAGGTTTTGGTTCGTTCAGGTTGTTGCTTTTCATCGAGCTGTCGGTGAGTTCCAAGTGAACGAGAGCTATGTGAAGTACGCGTTACACATCATGTCAACTTTGATGCCACTTTCATGATTTTATCATGGCAACCATGGCGTATTCTGATTTCGACAATCTTGATCATTATACAGATTCAATGGTTTCCGTTTTGCATGGATGAAATTGACATGTTATTGGGTGAATGTAATTAATATGTTCAATAAAGGAGTTTTAATGTGTTGTTACACGAAAGCCGCGTTGGAGATCATCAGGAAAGGGGACAAATGCACAGGTGGGACACTCGTAGAGAAAGGGGTGAAGGTGACCTCCATAGGGTGGGAGCTAACAGGTATGATCGGAGTCAGGTATCGATCTCCTAGTGACACGTTGTGGCCAATGGAGCAAGTGGACTTCGCAATGCACTAGTCGCCGATCCTGCTTTGTCTTTGGTATTCTGTTCGTTTGTGTTCCCTACTTATACAAACACATTGTGCTCTAAAGTTCGGGCTATTATTGCACCATGCGTCGAACGTGCCCTATGTGCGGACATATCGCCAATACGGCCACTATGAAGCGACTACATCCGACCTTGAAAAATCCAAAGGTCATCATGGTCACGTCTCTATCGCTCGTCGGTGTAGTTGAGAGTATGAACATTAGTAGTGTCGTTGAAAGTATAAGCAAGAACATGACGTTTATTTGTCACTCACATATAATTCAAGCGGTAGGTTGCAAATATGGTGTAATATGTTGGTACGTGATCATGATAGGAATTATTATGAGCACTCACGGTATCTGTGCACTGAAATGGTAGTCAGTGGAAGGCGCTCGTCTTATTACGAGGATTCAAGTGTAGGAAAAATGACTGCATATTTCACAGCTGCGGATATTCCGTAATGCCTAGTTGGCTTAATAAGTACAATAAGCAACGTAGGGATAAACATACGGCGTTCCATCTCCCACACCTAATTGGAAGCAAAGTTTAACGGCGCTGTTACTTTTCGAGATGTATGGTCGTTCATTGACGACGCTTTGAAGAGGTATCATGGATGTGAGTCGTGGCCTGATCACTACGAGGAGGAGGACTGTCATCCATGGAGCGAGTAAATTTTTTGCATAGACTAAAAAACTGACGTTCAGGAGGGGCTGAAGGAACTCTAACCCTGATTACGAACCAGAGACCAGCGACTCAGAACATAGCTATGTTCATGTGGAAGACATTGGAGAGACGGACGCAGTCGATTTGAAGGAGTATTTCCTAGTAAAGGGAGAGAAGTTAATGAAACTATTCCGTTTCTGTCCTGAATGCAAAGGCGAGCGGGCTAATAAGCGAAACTAAAAGCGGTCGGAACTGCAGCTGTGGCGCGATTCGTTTGCACGAATTGCAGTATCCGTAGACCTCCCGTGAAGAAATGGGAGAGCCAGGATCGCGCCGTCTCCCACTCAAGGGGGCGCATATTCAAGGGGAATGTTGGTGCGGCGGCAATGACAACAGGCTTTAGAGTTAAGTGAATCATTAGCGAAGATAGTTGAGAAGATGATTGTGGGAATATAGGCATCTCTAAATTCTTGTGAATTAAGGGGCTGGAGCGGTGGACACAATAAGCCCAGGTGGCAATGTTTAGGAAGACCTTCTATGTCGAGGTCTTCAAGTGGACTAAACCTGCCATAGAAGCCGTCTACCAGTCGCAGTAACGTTTTGTACTTGAAAAGATAAGGGGGAAGTATAAGGTACTCTGGTTAGTTATTTGAACACCCACTTCATAACATACTGACATTATGTGCATTTGCAGGAGGTGAGGGCCTCCATCTTGCAGCGGATAGTGCATACGACAGGCGAGGTTACTCCGCTTTGATAGGGAAGGTGGTGCTGTCAGACCTGCGTACTAAAATGATTCTCCACTGTGAAGTCCTCCACCGATCGGAGACGGGTGAGACCCGTATGGAGAAACACGAGTATCCATATAATCAGATTATTTGCAGAGAACATTAGTACGCGCATGGCGGTGGGGGGCGTGAAACGTCTGTCACTGGGTGCGTGGATGCGGCTTCCGAATCGGGTCTTTGACGACAGACTGCAGCCGTTCGTTAGGAGCTATTTGCTCCGCGAGATGGAACCTGAGCTCAATGATTTCCCTCATTATTATGACGGATGGCATCTGGCGAGTGGTTAGGCAACGTGCTCAGGAAGGTAAGAGCAGCTTTGAGGTCACCTTGTAAGTGATCCCACGACACTCGTCTCATGCAGCCAAGGCGGACGGCTGCGGGCTCTTGAACGATAGACTCTTGGACGGAGAAGGTGAAGACGTGGCTGTCGCATGCTTTAGAGCAAGCTGCGAAGTCGGGAGCGGATGCCAGGGCCATCTTTAACACGTGTTCAATGCAAGTTTCCGGCGTGCATGAGTGGCCACTGGTATGTGACTATGTTGATAAGGACTACACTTTACCAAAGCAAGCCATCTCACAGGATCCGCTCATTGGCCCCTTTAACGAGCTGTGCACACGCTCCACTCCAGGGTCCACGATTTGAGGAGCTGAGCCCGGATTCGAAGGCAGATGAGGCGTTTCAGAAGGTCTTCCTTGCAAAGTCTTTCCAGAAGGACATCCCAAAAGTTAGTTTACGGAGGCACCTCCGTGTGCAAGGCTAAGAACGCATTGGACCGGATATACTGTCCTAAAAAAATATTCTTCCCGCGCACGACTTACCCGCTCTACTGCGTGATGGCTACAATGCACATGAATACGTTGCAGCTGAAGAGCTGAGCGGAAAAAGGAAGGTGCTGAAGAGGTTACGATCCAGCGGAAGTACCTGAATAGGCTGTCGTGGCTGGTTCTTAAGACTCCAGCACAACACATTTGGAGAGACTTTGTTTGAAGGAGGTCCCAAACGGGCAACTTATGGCCTTACAGGCGAAGTCCCAGTGGCTCTCCTAAATGGGTCGTGGACCTAATGGATGAGGAAGAAGAATACGAATGGGAGCTGTGACTGGGTGAGGTGGTTTTTTGAGTTAATATTTACTGTATATACAATGAGAACTAACAAGCATCTATGGCATATTAAAACCCCATCATCTATATCTCTGAGTCGTGCCACACTTCACTGTCGCAGTCAACAGCTTCTGCCGCTCCCTAAAAGACATAATTCCAAGAGGGTGTGCTCATGATGGGGAAGGGGAAATTCACCTTGAACCCAACGTAAACCCCGCTGCTTGATGGGTATGCATTCATGATAGCACCCCTCACGCAAGCAGGGATCTCGTGTCGCTGCTTCATTCCTAGCTGGCCATAAGAGGAGACCAAGGAGCGGTAAGCGCATTAACGTAAACTTCTGAATTGGCACAACTCAGAATCTGAGCTCCTATTTGATACAAAAAAACTTGCTTGTTCTCGTCGCGTATGGGCTCCTTCGTCGTCTTCCTCTCCCATCTTAATGTCATCGTCATTACGCGAAGCACCTGAAGATCGATCTACAATACACAAGGCGAAGGGCGTGACAAAACTGATTATGTTGGCATTCCCGTTATCACCCCTTATCACTTGCTCCAATTTTTTCTCGCAAATCATTAAGGTCCATTCCCACTTCACATAATATTCATGAGTACAAATTCTCGAATATATTCTTCTTATTCTTAACACCATTCTTGATCGTGAGCTCGTGGGGTGAGGTTGTGCTATCTTAGCTCCTCTGCTTGCTGTCTACTCCGCATACGACTTATACGATACGGACTTATACGTTGATTGTGAGCGACCCACAATCCAGTCTCGATCCAGTTGGTCGCCAGAACAGGTCATTTTCATTTTATCACTCTTTGTGTTTTTGATATGCCGAAGAACTCCGTTGAGGCGAAGATTGTGAAGAAAGCAAGTGATCCGGCTTCCGATGCTGAACAAGATAATGAAGTCTCTAAGGCAATAGAAGAAGTCATCAAATCTGCTGGTGTCCCGAAATGTATCAAAAAAGCTCTGTCTGCTATGAATGCACAACTTGGCCTACTATTGCGAAGCAAGGAAGAAAAAATTGAAGAACTCAGGCGAGAAAATTTGGAACTTCATAATGAGCTGTTGGAGCTCAAAAGCAAACGTAACGTTGTTTCATCATCAAAGCTAGCATCTGTGCCAGAAACTCCTGCTCTAGTCAGCGCGGATCCTGATCATGATCGCTCTGTAGTTATTGCTGGAATCCCTGAAAGTAAGGCTTCTTCCTCAACAGAACGTGTTCATCATGACTTTTGTTCTACCAACCAGATCTTATCATTTCTCGGGATCGAATGTACTCCTATCACAGTATATCGATTAGGACGGAAGTTCGATCAAAGGGACCGCTTAGTAAAAGTAGTATTACCGAATAAAAGATTCCAAAATGAAACAGTCCGATGGCTCCCCGTCTTCGAAACTTTCCATACGCTGGCGTCTATCTACGCCCCTCTCTAACAAAAGAGGAAAGAGCTCGAAGACGAGAAGAACGTTTGGCTAAGCTTTCTAGTCGGAAAACTCTGAACAATAACATGACTGTTGACATGACTTTCCCTAGGAAATCGTTATTAGAGACATCTATTATTCACTCTGATGTTACACAGTCAATCGGCCAGGAAAACTGAAATCTGATCCTCGGTCCTATCTTTCCTTGTTTTATTCCAATGTTAGGTCAATCTCAAGAAACGCGGACTTGAATTATTTATAGCTAGAAAATATGATATTTTGGCGTTCACTGAAACTTGGTTGAAACCAAGGCATTCCATAACTTCGTTTTTGAACTGCTTGAATGAAGGCTATGATATCTTCAGATGTGATCGTCCCAAAAAAACAGGAGGAGGAGTGATTTTGTTTGTACATTCCAGACTTCCTATGTCACTTGTTCTTAAAGAATCTGTAGATGAGGCATATGAAATACTATGCACCGATGTATTCCATGAAAATTCATGTTTTAGAATTATAATACTTTATAATGCAATGTTAACAATACCAAACAATTATTCAAGGTCTTGAGTGATCCCATCTCATGTGAGCTACAATCCATAATCATAGGTGATTTCAGTATGCCTGAGGTGAGTAGTAGGCATGAAGTTACCTCTGATTCGTCCTCATTGTATTACCTG